CCCCCAAAAAAATCTGGGTTTTCTTCCTGAAATCAAGTGAAATCAAGCACTGGGTCAAAAGGCCACAAAAAAGCAAGAGGCCAAGCACCAGCAAAGACCCACCGGAACCCAGATTATGGGGTGTCCCAGAGAGAGAGCAGAGTTGAAAAAGATCGAAAGAGGCGTGAAAAACTCACCTGTGCGGCAGGTGAGAGAGACGGAGGGGGCAACAAAGAGCAGCAACATTACCATTGCGAAAAAGGAAACGCGCAAGGAAAAAGAAGAGAGCTGGGAGGGATTTCATCGCAGAGGAAGAAGAAGAAGAAGCAGCGGGCTCGCGAGGGCCCCCTCCGCCGCCCCCATTCCCCCCTCCGCGCTCACCTGGTCGCCCAGGAAACAACACCGGGCTGCTCCCGGCCGGCCGGCTGCGCAGACGCCGCATTCGGGGCAATGCCTGGCCGGCCAGCCTGGTTCCTCTCGGGCTTTAAAACCTGCCCAACCAGCCCGGGGGGTTCAAAGGCCAGCCTCGCCCGGCCCCACCTCCGGCCGCGGCGCTCCCGGAGCAAACGGGGCGGCCCTCGCCGCGCGCGGAGCCGGGGAGCGCTGCAGGTGCGCCCCGGCCGCGCCTCCCCTCCCCTCCCCTCCCCTCCCCTCCCCTCCTCCGCCGCAGGACACCCCTGCGAGGCAGGCGAGGCTGCGAGCCCGTGTGCGCCCCTGGGCCAGTGGAGCCTGGAACCTGGCGCCTGGATCGAGACAGAAACATGGATTCATTTAAGCCACTTCTCTGCCGCCCCCAGCGCAACGAAGCCTCCGGGCGGCTCACAACGGACATAAAAATGCAAGCAGTCATTTCAAAACTGGAACCCTCCCGGCTGTGTATTCAAATCTATAAATACAATAATAATACATTAACAGTTAAAATAACTTTTAAATAAAAGGGTCTTCGCCTGGTGCCGGAAAGCAAATAAAGATTCGCTTTTCCAACAAGCCCGCCCGGCCCGGCCGGGGCCACAGGTTGAAGAAGGCCGCCGCGCAGTGTCATGTACAAACTTTAAATAAAGGAAGAAATGCAAGATGCACCGTGACGCAAGGTGAGGGAAGGTGGGTGGAGCGGAGCAGAAGATGTGGTAGGAAGCCATGCTCAGCAGAACGTCTGTCTTGTATCCTTTTAAAATAATAAATAAGACGTTATTTTAAAACAACTGTTTACTGCCCCACTGAATGGTATCACCGTTTTGGAATGAAACGCATGGCAAACGTCGTGTTTCCTCCTAACGGATAAACTAGCAAACCTCCAGGCCTCTGGGCAGGGGAGATCGGCCTGACACACGCGGCCAGTGACCGGAGAAGCCTTGGTGACCCACACAGAGGGAAGAGTCCAGGGCTACCTGCAGCCAGGTGTTTCCACGTGCAGAGCATTAAGAAGCACCTTGCTTCTTAATAACAATAAAATAACAATGTTGTGTATAAAATATAATAATAGAGTAAGGGTCTATTATTATGGGGTTGTGGAGAGCCAGCGTGGTTTATTTATTTTATTTATTTAAAACTTTTATATTTTAAACCCTAACCCTAACCCTCCGTTGGGCATGGCATCTCAGGATGGCTTACAAGCAGTGGTCCTGTTTGTTGGACTGGGACTCGGGAGATCTAGGTTCGAGTCCCCACTCAGCCCCAGAGCCTCATGCGGGAGCTTTGGGCCAATCATGGGCTCTCAGGCTAACCTACCTTCCAGGGTTGTTGTTATGAGGGTAAATATATATTTATTTCAGATTTTATTTCTGTACTCCCCCTTAGGTAAAAAAGGCTCTCTGGCCAGTTCACAAGGTTAATAAATACAATAATAACAAAATAAAATACCAACAATAAAATTAAATATAAATAATATTTCAGTAAAATTGCAACAGTGGACACACCATAACTGCACTGAAATTAGCCAAGAGGTACAGCAGCAATAAAATACAGTATACACAATCAAGATTAAAATTAACTATTAAATCCAAAAAGGCTCTTCTTCTAGTAGCCACCCTCTTTGAAAATAAAGAAAACCTTGCCTGAGGGAGAAAGGCAGTGTATAATCCAGATTATAGTATCTAACTGGGAAAACGAAGAACACAGAATTTGTTCCATCTTGCATATATGAAAGGTAATTATATAGTGTTAAAACTATAAATCAAATGATAATATTTTTAAAATGCTGATGATGATATGAGAGAGACTTTTTAAATCTCCACCACCCATCCTAAACTGGGCATTCATGTTCTGCAATCATGGTTTATTGCAATCAATAGTTTATTTGAATGAAGGTGAAGCTCAAAGTGCGGCCATCTTGCCCTCACTTCAGTCCTGGCAAATCTCACGGGCGGGGTCAAAGGAGCCGAGCAGCCCGCTGGTGGACAAGGAGGAAGTCCGCTTCATCAAACTCTCGCGAGAATTCAGCGAGATCTCGCGAGGCGAAACTGAAACTTTTGCCAGCAGCCGGAGGAGGGCGTCGTGCAGCGTCTGGCGAACAGAGATAATAATAGGGAAGAGAAACCCAACCTGTAATTTGGACTCAATACTTCCGGGATTGCATTGAAATCTGTTTATAACTAACTGTTTAGAACTAACTGCTGCCCCATACAGGTCAGCAATCTCGGGTTTTATCTAGGCCCGAATGGACAGCAGCTTGGCCTTACTTCCAGGCCAGTGGGTGTAAAATTGCCCTTAAAAAGAATTCACTCTTTCTTTAATCCAGGTCTTAATGTGTGTGGAAACAGACAGATTGTCTTCTCCCACTGTCAGAACCCTATGATCTTTGGGTCCCCCTGTCAAAATAAAGTGAAGCAGGGCCTTTTTGGTGGTGGCAACAAGGTTGGAGAATGTAACCTTTAAATCCCTATGTTGCAATCTATTTGGCCACAGGCCAAAACATCATTTCCCCAGTCTTTTCAGGTTTTTACTTTTGTCTCATTCTGTTTTAAACTTTTAACTTTGAAGGGTTAATGATAGATGTGAAAGTATGATTTGAAGCAAGGGAGTAGAAAGATTTAAAAGGTAACAAAGAAAATTACTTAGCCCAAAGGAGGGGAGATGTTAAAATCAGATAGCACAAGGTGTGGGGAAACAGGCACAAATACTCCCTGATTGTTTATTGACAAGCTGGGCAGAACAAAATGAGCCTATCACCAGGGGCAGGGAAGACTGGGGAGAAGGGCCGGTGTTGGGGCAGCGTGGAGTAGGTGGGCGGAAAGACTGTAAACTCCCGGTACCCCAGCCAACTGGGGAAAGAGGAGGAGGGAGAAGCGGCCGGGGGCAGGGCATAAAAAGCGGATGTGAACCTGTGCTCAGGTGAACAGGAAAATGGGAAGAAAACCATTTTTTTTCTGTTCCCTTTGTTCCAATAAAGTTTTAAGAAGAACTCTCTGCATGCTTGGAGTATTTTTCTCTTCCGACGGAAAGGAGTGATTTTTAACATTAATGTTATACCTATGTTGTATTTTGAGGCTTTCATGTTTCATGACTGTCCAGATACCTGGTTATTGGGTGGCATAAGAACATACTATGCAAAGACACAAGCCTACACACGTTCAGACAGGAAAAAGTCTTTAATCTCCCATTATTCTAGGAATTATAGACTTCTTTCCTGCCTAGATATGTGTTGGATCGAACCTCAAGAAAACAAGAGTTTGAATGAATAAAAGCAACAAGCCTTTATAGGCAGAAAAAGGTTCTGAGCTAAACTTGTCTTCCTGTGCATGTCGTGAGCGGAGCGGACCTGGCTGGCGCCGGAGGTCAGACTAGATGGCCCGGGAGCCCCCTTCTGACTCGCCCTGTTTCTATGATGGCAGGGCATGCTAGGAATTATCGGCCTTCCCTTTGACTGTACATACCAAGGATTGCACCTAGGAGAAATAGATCGGTACCACCTGATCCAGAATGTGGCATTCTGTGGTGCACAATTTGTGTGAGCTCCGTTACAAAGGCATCAGACACCCACCTGGCTACCGGGGACTCATGCTTCCATCAGCCCCAGCCGACATGGTTGGGGATGATGGGATCCGGAGGCCCGCAACATCTGCAGGAGCCGCAGAGCGGCCACCCCGGCGAGAATTCTGGCACCTTGTTAGAGAGGCGGCGGCTCGTAACTTCGTTGGGGGCACGCGGGCCGCCACTCCCGGGCCGCGCTGGGGCTGCACGGCGTTCTGCCCCTCCTCCCCCAGGGCCGCCCCGTCCTGCCCCGGGCCGCCTCTTCACAGCGGGCCGAGCGGGAGCGGGAGCGAGCCTGAGAAGGCGGCGCCCCCTCTGCGGCGCAGCGACCCGGCTGAGTCTAGGCGGGCCGGCCGGCGCCGCGGGCGCGCGTTCTCGCGAGAGCGGCGGCGGCTCTCGCGCGACTTGGCTGAGGGGCAGCGGCGGCGGCGGCGGCGGCGGCGGCTCCGGCAGCCCCGCGGCGAGGCCAGGCCAGGCCGGAGCAGGCGCATCGCGATGGCGGCCGAGCGGGCCCG